AAGGAATTAGCTGTAAATATGGGCAGACATGTCTGGTAAAGAGGGATAGTTAATTATCTCTCCCCTTCCAGCAGGGATCAAATTATATCATGAATAAGGAAGAAAGGGTTTTGGAAATAAAAGTTGAAATTGTGAGGCTGACAGATTTCTTTTCTCACTTTGAGAACTGGAGGTTGTTGGGTTTCTTTTGTTTTTTGTTTTTCCTTGTCATTAGTCCTCATAGTAAGTATTGTTATAGTGTCAAAGCTCAAGTACAGACTGGTTTGATAGTTTGGGAAACACACAAGGGAACAGTGGGGCCCACCTGGCTCCAAAGCCTTGGCTGTTTTTGATAGACAGTATAATACATAACAGTAAATTATGAATAAATGAAGCATATTAGATACCATGATATGTACTGTAATTTTTCCCATGGGTCTATAAATGCACCCAGTAGACTGGGTAAGGGCCACTACTGCTCATGGATTTGAAGGTCTTCACTCTTTGGAACAATAGTCAGATTTTATGTCTGATTCTATAATCTAAGATCCCCATGTTAATTGCTAATTAGTGATAGAGGATAAAACAAGATTTTATCCAAAATATTATCTATCATCTGTCTATCTATCATCTGTCTATTATCTATCTTATCTATCTGTCTATCCTGTCCATCATCCATCATCTATCCATTTTCTGTCCATTATCTATCTATCCATTCATCAACCATCATCCCTTGTGTCTGTGTATGTGTATGTGATGTGCAGTTACATGTGTGCATGTAGAGGCAGAGGACAACCACAGGTGTTGTTCCTCAGGTGCTGTCTTGTGCACCATTCTTTTTCTCTCTCTCTCTCTCTCTCTCCCTTTCTCCCTCTCTCCCTCTCTTCTTTCCTCTGTCTATCATCTATCTATCTATTATCTATCTTATTTATCTATCTATCTATCTATCTATCTATCTATCTATCTATCTATCTATCTATCTATCTGTCTATCTATCTATCTATGTATATATCTTTGTATCTATCTACCATCTC